TGCTGTCGTCAGGCGACATCGTTCTCGTCGCAGACACTCATCTAGAAAGCCTGCCCGCAGCATCAAGTCTTCTGTAAAGCCTCCTTTCGTTGAATCGGCTTCACCACCACCACTGGACAGAAGGAACACATGCACTGAGAATGCTGCCCCTGAAAAGGAGGCTCTGGAATAAGCATGGCCATCACTTCCAAGGATAACCCCTGCAGAAAAAGTGGAACGTGCACCGGTAGCACCACTTTCTGCGTCTCGCCAAGATGAGGTGACAGAGCGTGACCGAAAAATTTTGACGATGATCAAGTCTCTCATCAATGCCATTCGCACGCTTATAGGCAACACGAACACGTCTAGAGCACGATGCGCAGTGCAAGTACTGGATGCCCTGAGTCTAGTGCTTGCCAACTTCGCATAGACAAAATGGCTCCTTCACTGCCTTCATTCCGAGACGAAGTACGTAGTGCGACAGTTTTACAGTGGAATGCCAGAGGACTTAAATCACGGATCTCATGTTTTCGACATTACGTTTTCTGCAACTGATTTCCTATATTAGTAATATGTGAACCTAATATGTCAAAAGCGATAAAGCTTTCTGGCTCCGAAGCCTTCACTTCATCGACTTGTGGTGAGCCCAGTAAAGTAATTATATATATCCGCACAGATTTAACCTACAATCCACATTTGGTGCAACCCCATAACGGAAATCAATATGTATGCCTCCGCGTTGCAAAGAAGAAGGTAGCCTTCACGCTTATCGGCGCATACATCTCACCATCTGGTCAGTTCGATGGTGAAAGACTACATGACATCTTGACCGCTACACCTGGACCTTGGATTGTGATTGGTGATTTCAATGCTCATCACTTGCTTTGGGGAAGCACAAAGATTGATTCCAGACGCCGGAAACTTACTGAATTTGCCTCAAGACACGAACTTACCGTTATGAATGATGGCAGTCCGACGTATTTGCGTGGTTCGAGATATATCAGTTGCCTGGATCTTGCATTGGTGTCACTGCAATTCACCCAACAAATGCGATGATTCACTGATATTGAGACTCACGGCAGTGATCATATTCCAACGTATCTGAAGGTCACAGGTTTTGTAACTTCCTCCTCATTAACTAACAGAAGAGTTAATTGGACAATGTACAAGGCAAAGGTGGAAGAGGCATGCGATGATATCGCGTGCGGCCTCGAGGAGGTAATGAAAAATGTGATGGAAGAGGTTATGTGCGCCTTTAAATACACATCAAAGCGTACAGAATTTGATATAGAACTTGAACGACGACGAACGATTCGTAGGCGGGCGAAGAGGAGGTACAGGCGCACTAATTCGATTCATGACCTCAGAGACGCTCGACGTCTACAAAAGAAAATCCAATGTCGAATGAACAAGCTGGAGGACCAACGGTGGAAGAAATTTTGTGAATCACTCGATCCTGATTGATTGATATGTGGGGTTTAACGTCCCAAAACCACCATATGATTTGAGAGATGCCGTAGTGGAGGGCTCCAGAAATTTCGACCACCTGAGGTTCTTTAACGTGCACCCAAATCTGAGCACACGGGCCTACAACATTTCCGCCTCCATCGGAAATGCAGCCACCACAGCCGGGATTCGAACGCGCGACATGCGGGTCAGCAGCCACTAGACCACCACGGCGGGGCAATCACTCGATCCTCGCAAGCCTATGTCCCATATATTGAGGATGGTGCGTGGCCTTGGCTCGACTCCACAACAACGTCCATTCAGCACATTGGCTCTCCATCAAGGCCGCCTGCAGGTTGACGTTGCTGAAGATTTCTGCGTGAGGATTGTGGGCAATGACGTTACCATGAGTGACGATGTTCTCGGGGATGTTCCTGTAGAACGAGTTTCTGAACTGAATATGCTTTTCTTACTCGAGGAACTGGATGCAGCTCTAGCCACCTGCAGACGTTCATCGTCACCTGGGCCAGACGGTATTACATACGCTGCTTTATGCCATCTTGGAAGACGCGGCCGAGACCAGCTACTAAAATGCTACAACCAGTCATGGAACGATGGCGTCGTTCCAGAAAGGTGGAAATCCAGCCGCTTGGTACCAATCCTCAAACCTGGAAAGTCGCCGCTTGATCTGGCATCATATCGACCCATTGCGCTATCCAGCTGTGTGAAGAAAATCATGGAAAGAATGGTTCTGACACGCCTCGAGTGGTACCTTGAACGCTATAATATATACCCTGAGGCCATGGCTGGTTTTTGAAGAGGCCGCTTTTCTATTAATAATGTCATCAACCTCGTAACCTTTGTGCAACAATAGAAATACCTCAAGCGCATGTCGGTTGCAATGTTCCTCGATGTGAAAGGTGTATACGACAACGTAACGCACGATGCCATCTTAGATGCCTTGACGAACATTGAAATCGGTGGAGAAATGTTTCGATGGATTCAGAGCTACCTACGGAGGAGATCCTTCTTCGTGCTCACTGCGGAAAGCCGCACCGTTGATCATTACACCGCTCGTGGCGTTCCACAAAGCGAGGTTCTCAGCCCTACGCTGTTTAACCTCACGATCATTGGCCTTGTACAAAGTCTACCTCGATCAGTCAATATCTCTACATACGCTGATGATATATGTATCTGGGCTTCAGCAGTGACACGACTTCAGGTACGCGCACAATATCTCTACATACGCTGATGATATATGTATCTGGGCTTCAGCAGTGACACGACTTCAGGTACGCGCACGGCTCCAAAAAGCAGTGAGAATAACGTCGACGTACCTCCATGCTCGAGGCCTCACAATTTCCACCGAGAAGTGCGCCTTAGTCTCTTTTACCCGCAAGCCCATTTTACCCGCAAACCTGTTATCCTGTTTCTATCGACAACGTGAACCTTTCGTATACGAGACGTCACCAATTCCTGGGCATCATTAACAACAGAGATCTCTCGTGGAGTGCTCACATCTCGCACTTGAAGAAGAGGCTCAGCTCTATCACACACGTGATGAGATTTCTCGCGGGTAAAACGTGGGGCACATCAATGTCATCGATGCTTCAGCTGTACAGAGCGCTCTTCTTGGGATATTTGCGGTATAGCACGCCCGTGCTCTCTAACGCCGGAAAAACTAACATCCGGGTCCTGCAAAGCATTCAAGGCCAAGTCCTCCGCACATGCTTGGGGCTACCTCGGTGCGCTAATACGTTAGCAACAATTGGTATTGCTAAAGACCATCTGATCACGACATATATAACTGTCGACACACTCCGGACACATATCCGTCACACATCCAGAGTGCCTAACCACCACCTTGCTAGCTTGCCACTAGAAAGACCAAAGGCAGCGTTTTCCAAAGTTGTTGCGGCTAACCAGAATTCCATCTCGTGGAGATTCTCACCCGCAACCATACTATTATCTCCAGAGTGGTGCATGAAAAGACAGACTGTGCACCTTGAAGTGCCGGGGATATCTAAAAAGGCAAGCCTGTCGTCTGCAGCCCTCAAGCAGATCTCACTGGACCTTTTGCATTTGTCGTATGCTAACCGAATTCATGTTTACACGGACGGTTCGGTCTCGGGAAGTTCGACAGGTGCCTTTGTCATACCATCTCGATCAATCATGGTCAAATTCAAGACATCACACGTCACTACATCTACGGGATCTGAGCTCGCCGCTCTTCGAGCCGCTGTGGAGTTTGTTACACAAGAATCCCCTAGTAGATAGGCCATTTTCTGCGGCTCCAAGGCAGCCCTTCAATGCGTGCGAAGTCTACGATGTAAAAACTACCACCATATGGTGTATCGTATTAATGAAATTTGTCATCGCGCTGCGAATCAAGGACACGAGATTGTTTTACAATGGTTGCCGAGCTACTGTGGCATCAGTGGTAACCACCTCGCTGACCATGCTGCCCGATGTGCCCACGACAGCGCTGACACTGTTAATACCCTTGTCAAGAGTAGACACAGCTAGAGAACTTTGTCACATCGCGCATAATGCCACGCTTGGGTACTGGAATTCTCCACCTAACTCCAATCATCACCCTAAGAATCTTAAGTCATTACTTCAGAAACAACTGCCATCCAAGATTTCTCGACATGACACTACAATGCTGTGCCGGCTGTGGACTGGGGTAGCGTTTACTAAGTCATTCAGCCATCGCATTGGCATGGCGGATTCATCCATGTGTGAAAGCTGCAACTGTATAGAGACTATTGAACATCTCTTGTGCCACTGTGCCAAATTTGATGAAGAACGCCGGACTCTCCAGTGTGCCTTGAATAGACTCGATGACCGGCCATTTAATGAAGCAAAGATCTTAGGAGCCTGGTCGCGCAGCACATCAGCACAGAAAGCCACACGAGCCCTCCTGAGATACTTGACAGCAACTTCATTGAGGGACCGCCTGTGAAACTCGGCATTGTGTGTGTGACGTGACATGTGTCTATCCTTCTCTCTCTCTTTCATTCCCCTCTCCCCTACCCATGTGTAGGGTAGCAAACTGGATGCATAGTCTAGTTAACCTCCCTACCTTTCCTACATTCCTTCTCTCTCTCTCTCTTCACAATATAATTACAGTAGACTCTCATTAAACAAAACGTGAAGGGACTAGTAAAATGTGTTCTGTCTAACAGGAGTTCTCTTTACTGAGAGATGAACAGGGGCACACAATGCAAGAATGAAACCAATCTTGTCAGAAGCATTTGTTTCATTTAAGCAGCAGTTCCGTTAAACAGATTTCCGTCTACTGAGAGCCTATAGTCTTCATGGGATGTACGACTCATGTTATTCCCAAAAGGTGTGCTTAAGAGTTTAACGATTCCCTGAAGTTCAAAGCTTCTTTCTTTTTCTCTTTTTTTACCTGCCTCTTATCACTATAAATCAACATAATAAAAAGCTAATGAAAGACAATGCACCCTCACTCCACCCCACTCCATTAGTGTAACCTCTCTTTTTTTCCTGCCTTTAGCATGCTGTCAAGCACACAGAGGCCACTGGCACACGTGAAAATGCCAAAAGAATACGAGGTGACATTTTTATTTAACTCGTGCACATTCACAAAACTTATTGTACAGCTTTGCCTAGTAAGCTTCTGTATCTTTTTCCCATGGTGTGCACACTGCTACTGCCAACTACTTTGCAGATGTCACATTAGAGGTCGGTGACGAATGTACTTGTGGTACCAGAGAAACGTAGTGGCAGCACTCAGTGAGTACCTATATTGGGGAAAAGAAAGTTTTGTATGGTTAGTTACTGCTTCTGAGGAAAGAGAAGCATGTGTTGAGACATGCAGTATTGCAAGCTGTGATGAACAAGGGGCAGTCAAAAAGTTCCTGAAGAGGTGGTTCAACATGCTGATGTTATAATCTCAGCAATGCTTATGTTTAATCACCTTCGAACTATGATTAATGTATGCACACACACTTGCTCTGTTGCTCTGGCCATTATTAGAAGCAGTGGTAGAAGGCTTATTTTGAAATCCTTCAGAGCTTAGCCATAGCAGTCACACTGATGTTCCCCACGGTTGTAAAATGCGTCCACTTGAGACCCATTTTAACATAAAGGTGTTTTATGCCTGAGTCCAGCCAGACTTCAATGAAGTATTTTTGTGACTGGTATGTTGTCGATAAAATGGATGCCACCAAATGAGATAGAAAAAAAACTGTAATGAAACTGTAATGAAAACTGTAACGCAATAATAAGCACCCAGTGCTGTACCGACTGAGCCGCTGAGGGAGATGCAAGTCTTCAAATAACCGTGCCTTATGTCTCGCACAGTGCTCTCCGTGGGTGATCAGGGTGGTGCGACCATCTTGAGTGATGAGGAGAGGTGATGCGGCGTGAAATGTACTAGTGTTGGCAGAAAATTATTCCTCGACGTTGCAGTTAAAACATGGCGTCCAAGATTACACATTGCCTGGCAATGTTAGAGGCCATAGTTGTAGTGTTTCAATAGCAGAAAAGAACACTGGCCGTGCTAGCATCGGGGAGTTGCCTTAAATGAAGTTTGCCTTTCGCTTCATGCCGGTGTGTGAAGGCTTAATGTCGGAGTAGTATAGCTTTCACATGCACCAATGTTTTTCCACTGATAATAAACCTGCTGCAATAAGCACTGCAGAAAGACAACGATGTTGACAGGTGAATGCCATGCCTTGGAGGAGTGAGACAGAGGCCAGCGGGACATGGAATGCCATTGTGCATTTACGGGTCAAGCTACAAACCGCACTCTCCCATGTTGCTGAAACGCAGTGCGGTAGGGCATGCATGGGCACAGGTGTAGATTACCCTATTACTCAGGAGTGCACATTGTGCTGTTTCTTTCATTTATTGGTGATGCTTTGAAGAAGTGCATATGAAATACTAGTGTTTATTATGTGCTTGTTAATGCCATCTAAAGAACTTCAGCGTCTATGACGTTTGAATCACGACCGTGGATGTTGGTCGTCACGATGGAGATGTGCCACTAGGCATCAACGTCGGTGCATCCACGTCAAACAATGCTATAGATGCCAAGCACCAATAGACTTTGTACAAACTCTCATAATGGCTATGCAACAAGCACGACATCTGTGAAGACAGTTTTCACTTTCATGTTATACCAATTCCTATGACAGAGGGATAAAAAATTCTTGAAGTAGCAAACAGCCAAAAGTCATTTGCAGCAAGATACGAAGAGTAAGATGGTTGAAGGATGATCAGAATGTTATTCATGGCGAAGAACTGCTGCACAATAAATTATGTGCGGCTTGTCGCATTATGAGCAAATGCGATGGCTAAGCTACATCAGATTCTGAAAGGAACCTGCTACTGCTGCTTCATACAATAGCAGGAGTGATGAAGCAACTGTGCTTCGTCTTTGTATGCCACCTTTAAATATGCTTTTAAAAAGTGGAAAAAAAAAACATGTTCGCTCAACTAAACAAATTGTAATTTCGTAATTTAACCTTTCCGATACCAAATGTCTCCTCAGCACAGACAGTAAGCTACAGCACTGCAGCTTGAATGTAGTTTATGGCATGTTGCATGACAACACACAGTAAGACTGGAGACAAGGTATTTGCTGGTATAGGTGACTCATACAAAAGTCAGCACTGATTTGTCAATATAACAGTGAAGACCATTGTAAGCATGCAAGATTATAGTGAGCGCTCACAATGTAATAGCATTATAAAAGTTCAACAATGTACGTACTATCGTCAGCAATATGAACTCGAATGCGTGGCAAATAGTAGCCTCGAACCCTACATTGGCTGATTAGCAGCAGCCGCAGTCGAAAACCTAGTGGAAAGGGCGGCGCGCTTCCATTAGCGATTGACACACCCGCCTCGATACCGTTGCTGCAAAACGCAGCCTATAAAATGTTAGTGGAAGCTAGCAGTAATAAGGGCTAACATCAGTGCGCACAACCACACAGGCTATTCAGCTACAATCATATCAGTTGAGATGTAGCCTGCCGTGATGCACAAGCCATTATTTTATCACATCTGGGTGGTGCTCGCTGAGCATTTTGATACGCATTTCTGACTTCAGATTTAGTGCTTTTCCTTTTCGTCTCCATCATTGCTAGCCGTCAATGGCACGCGATCAGCTGCTGTTTCACAGCAACGATACTGTGGGAGTGCTAACAGCATTCTCCTTTCCCCTCCGGTTCCGGCAGCACCATCCACGTATCACGTTATCTCACTTTAGAGGCTATTTTATATGCGCTCGCGTGTTCGGGCTCATATTGCTCACAATAGTACAGTCAGTAATGCCGCACTTTTTCTAAAAAAGAAAAAAAAAAGACATTTGACTCGCCAGCCCACACGACGCATCTAAATCTACTAGTAGGTGCTGCACTTTAATGCTGCGGCAATTATACTACAATGCTACTACCCTACAATTTCACTATAATGCTGCTGACATTATTGGGAAACAAAAAGTGGTGGTATTCCATTGCTGATAGAAAAGTGGCACATGGAACATCCCTTTAGTAGTAGCAGGTCATGTGTAGTAGTACTATGCAGTCTAAAGTAAAGTGAAATAACATGGCATAAGAAGCGAGATAAATTGATCCTCAGCTTAGTTCTCCATTTTTGTTTCGTGCCACTACTGAAGATATTTAACAAAAAGAGTTCATGTCTACGGATATGGGCACCACAAGTGAAGAAGATAAGAAAGCAATGACGACTACTGGAGGATAACACAGAAGGCAATGTTAATAATTGAGTTGAAATATGCATGTGCTGAATTTTTGATTGCTGGATGTTTCTCCTAACAGGTGGGTAAAAGAAAAAATATTGAAGGCATGAAAAATTGAGCTATGCACACTAATTATTTTGTTCTACAAATCTAGCATTTGGTGAGCTGGCTGTTTCTGCTAACAGGTGGGTAAAAGAAAAAATATTGAAGGCATGAAAAATTGAGCTATGCACACTAATTATTTTGTTCTACAAATCTAGCACTTAGTGAAACCACCTTCCTACCACCTTAGTTACTGTCTTTGAGGGAGCCATTCCCACTGAATACTGCAATTATGCTACAGTGCAGTTATTACTCTTTTGTTTGTTTTCATATTTACATTATCCCCTACTCACGACAATGCTAAGGACTTTAGGGTGAATGAAAGAAATCAAATCAGTACTGAAGCACTTTAAAAATAGGATAGCAAGCTTTGAAGTACTCACCAAGTGATGATATACGAGAAGTGTTCATTTCGAAGACTCACATTAGTTTGACCTCCAATAGGTCCACCTTCAACAGTGCTCTCTGCCAAAGTTCATAACAAAGCACATAAAATGAGTAAATAAAAGTAATAATCAAACACACCAAGTAGTAGCCACTGTACTGTGATTTTTGGGCATGTTTTCTATAGAAAAAAAAAGCAGCTTACTACAATAAGTCATGTTGCATTATTAGTAACAATTAAATCCGAATCCCAGGTGTGTCTGCAGAAAGGAAAAAGAGCGAAGAAAAAAGAAAAATTTATAGCTTCAGCCGAAAGGTAAAACACTGATAGCAATGCACCGCACAGCTAGAAAAGGAATTGTAGATTATACATTGTAGCAAACATATACTAAATAAATTTGTCTGCATGCACAGATAACCAAGAGCACACTCACTCGATTGCCACTGGCTTTTCATAATAATGGCAAGATTAATAGAGCAAACAGAAGTAAACAAATGCAATGAGCTTCCTTTCACTTATTTGAGCTATTGCAAGCTGCACCTTTGATGACTTTGCCCTCCCAAGCTCGACTAACTGAATAAAACTGGTAAAGGGCCCCAAAACCACCCAGAGGTGAAATTTAGGTGTGGTGTTGCATTTGTGCACGAGTCTACAAGGAACACGTAGCGGTGAGAATTTTTTAAAGTGGGGCCATAATAGCGGAATTAGACACGCTTGATGATCTGAATGTGGCAATCGCTCATTTCGCTCTTTCCTTTGTTACCCTTCGTTCATCGGCTGGTCTCCTCTCCTAAAGCTGCTTTATCTTCCTCACCGAATCCCTTTTATAATCTCACATGACACACGTAATTGGTGATGCACTCTTCAAAACAACGTCCACTTCTAGTTACTGCACCTCTGATACTACAGTCGAATCTCGATAATTCGAACTTGATTGATATGTGGGGTTTAACATCCCAAAACCACCATATGATTATGAGAGACGCCGTAGTGGAGGGCTCCGCAAATTTCAACCACCTGGTGTTCTTTAACGTGCACCCAAATCTGAACACACGGGCCTACAACATTTCTGCCTCCATCAAAAATGCAACCGCCGCAGCCGGGATTTGATCCCACGACCTGCGGGTCAGCAGCTGAGTACCTTAGCCACTAGACCACTGCGCGGAGGCGATAATTCAAACTTGAAGGGGCCCGAATATTTGTTCAAATTTTAAAATAAGTTCGAATTATTGAAAGCTAAATGAATGAAGGGCTCACCAAGCACTGGCGCATGTGCATTGAGCTATCACGTGAGGGGGAAGTTTCACAAGACTTACATTTATTCACAAATCACAGATCATCCGTCCTTTGAAGTAATCGGTGATGCACGCATGCACACGTTTGCCTTGAAGCGAGTCAATTTCACATGCCGCTTGCAAAACATTTCTACTTCAACTTCAGCATTCTCCTGGCAAAGGAAGTTGCGCGCGGCAATGTCCAGCGGCGACACTCTCCAAATCCAAAGACTACGACAACAACGACTTCATCTTCGCTACGCAGCTTCAGCGTGGCCAGCACGTGATGAGAAAGGAGGGGCGTCTCCACGCGGAGAGACGCAGATCGCCATTTGAAAGAGAAGCAACACTCCACAGCAGCTTTCTTTTTTTTTTCTTGCTCTCTTCGCGTGCCTCGTTGAAAAAAGAAGGGTCTACATTGCAGGGACAGGAAAGAAAGAAGTGTGGCATCGGCACGTGAGAGAGAGCCAACACTCCGCGACAGCTTTCTTTTTTCCTCTATCTCTTTGTGCGCGGCGTTGAAAGAAGAAAAGTCTTCAAGTGGCAGGGACGTAAAAGGGAGAAGTGTGGCACAGGCGCGTCGCAGATCAGCATTTGAGAGAGAGCAAACATTCCACCGTAGCCTTTTCTTTCTTTTCCTTTTCCTTTGCGCGCAGTGTTGAGGTGTCATAGGTGCCGCCGCAGGATTGGGCGTGGTGCTGAGAGCATTTTTGGGGAGTGCGATATGTTCGAATTAACTGTCGAAAGTGCTTGCGCGTTCGAATTACAAGGCATTTTCACCCACTGGAATACAAATAGCTTTGACGAGACCTCAGTGTGAGTTCAAATTAACCGAAAGTTCGAATTAAGCGTGTTCGAATCAACGAGATTCGACTGTAACTGTATGCTTCTCGGCAACAATCTGTTGTTGATTCAGTTCTCTCAGTTTGTCAGACTGCTATAAGCACGACTGTGTTGGTACGCTAGCAATTTGGCACTAGCATTACGGGCCACAGTTGCAGACTCACAAGTGCATGCACCCAGGCAATACTACAAAGGACAGCAAGGAGTCGGGCAGTGCTTGCAGAAGACTAACTGGAAGTCATCGGTTCTTGTTCGACCAATCACAGCATCAATTGTCGATAACATCATAGATGGAACATACCAACATCACACACGTCACCACGATGCCGAAAAGGCCCACAGAAGAAAAGGGATTGTTTCTTGTAATTTATGGCACACCTGTGGCCACGGGTCTTCTTCAAATCTTTGAAAACATTGGTGATGGTTTAGGGTCCCTTTAAAGAAAAACTGCCATGGAAGTATCTATCGTTCGCACATATCAAGCCTTTTTATAAACATCAAACGTTTTCAAACAGTATAATACAATACGTTTCAACGTATTGCCCTCAACTTTTCAATATATTATAAATATTACACTCTGAGGCCAAGTCACAAATACTGTTTCAGCACCGTAAATGAGGTGTGTAAAAATAAGCTGTACAAGTGCACAGAAAATAGCCAGCCGTATCCCACAACTATAAATTTACTATGATTGGCAAGCACAAGGACAAGTAATGGGAAAGATACAATGCTGTGCAAGACATTGCGGTTAGTTGATGCAGTAGAACGTAGTATAGATTTTGGTGTTAGTCTGCAGGCTTTAAAAAAAAAAGACAAGCTAAAGAAGTATTGTTGAAAAAAAATTGATCCTTTATCATGTGCTAAAAAATATTACACAAAACTTATATGAAATTTGTATTGAATTTCATCATGCATACATATTAGTGAATAAATTAATGCTCTTTTATGATTATCATAAAATCCCAAGCAAGTGGGCACGTCGGCTGGCATCGGAACGGCGTCATGTCAAACCCATTCCTGTTCTTTGTACAGGTATTCCTGCCTGTGGTGTCTACGGCGGCCAGCGCATCGACTACGCAGACGAAGATAAATGCCATCACGCTCCCGTATCAGCAGCTTACCCATGACCAAGAACCGCACGTGCTGAATCTTTCTACACCGCATGATGGCGCCTCGACTGCATCGACTATGGCTATAAAAGGACGGCTGCAGCAACACCCGCGCAGTGGGCACGTCGGCTGGCATCGGAACGGCGTCATGTCAAACCCATTCCTGTTCTTTGTACAGGTATTCCTGCCTGTGGTGTCTACGGCGGCCAGCGCATCGACTACGCAGACGAAGATAAATGCCATCACGACTCCCGTATCAGCAGCTTACCCATGACCAAGAACCGCACGTGCTGAATCTTTCTACAACCGCATGATGGCGCCTCGACTGCATCGACTATGCTATAAAAGGACGGCTGCAGCAACACCCGCGCAGGTGGGCACGTCGGCTGGCATCGGAACGGCGTCATTTCAAACCCCATTCCTGTTCTTTGTACAGGTATTCCTGCCTGTGGTGGCTACGGCGGCCAGCGCATCGACTACGCAGACGAAGATAAATGCCATCACGCTCCCGTATCAGCAGCTTACCCATGACCAAGAACCGCACGTGCTGAATCTTTCTACAAACCGGCATGATGGCGCCTCGACTGCATCGACTATGGCTATAAAAGGACGGCTGCAGCAACACCCGCGCAGTGGGCACGTCGGCTGGCATCGGAACGGCGTCATGTCAAACCCATTCCTGTTCTTTGTACAGGTATTCCTGCCTGTGGTGTCTACGGCGGCCAGCGCATCGACTACGCAGACGAAGATAAATGCCATCACGCTCCCGTATCAGCAGCTTACCCATGACCAAGAACCGCACGTGCTGAATCTTTCTACACCGCATGATGCGCCTCGACTGCATCGACTATGGCTATAAAAGGACCGGCTGCAGCAACACCCGCGCAGTGGGCACGTCGGCTGGCATCGGAACGGCGTCATGTCAAACCCATTCCTGTTCTTTGTACAGGTTGGTGTCGATTACTCCTCAGTTAAAACAAGCAATCGTTGTTTTATACAGCTGACGTGCCCAAGCTGTCTACATGCTTTTTTTGTGAATACATGGGATCTTGTACGGTCTTTGCTAATGTTGTGCGGAGACGTAGAGCTCAATCCCGGACCTAGTACCGCGGAACTTCTCAAACAATTACTTGATGGTCAGAAACTTATACAGAAAGGCTAAACGCCATTGAATCCAAGCTGCAAAAAGTTGACAAAATCGAAAAAAACTGTGCAGTGCCTTGAAAAAAGGCTTGTGGATTTAGAAGACCGAAGCAGACGCAACAACCTTGTGGTATTTGGTATTCCGGAAAGCGAGAATGAATCAACCGTTGTCCTAAGCGAGAAGGTCGTTACTGAGCTTTTTAAAGATACTTTGGGAGTAGAAGTACACTCAGTAGAAAGATTACACAGAATGGGGCGTCGCCAACCAAATAAACCTCGCCCTGTGATACTGAAATTGTTCGACCATCGTGAAAAAATAACCGTTCTACAAAACTGTTTTAAGCTAAAAGGAAAGCGCATGTCAGTGTCTGAAGACTTCTCCGCTGCCACTAGGCAAATAAGAAAACAGCTCTGGGATAGCACGGCTGACCTACGCAAATCGGGAAAGAAAGTCAGACTCGTGCACGATAAAATTAGAATTGATGATGAGCTATTTGAATGGGACGACGAACAAATGACTAGAGTATCAGTTTCAAAACGCCGATCTAGGGCAAGGCAAAAAGATGCGTGACCACACAGTCACACAGAAAGTTTTACTTGCCTAAACATTAATGCTCGCAGCATCGTAAATAAAACAACCGATTTGGAAAGCATAGTCATCGCGCACAATCCAGAAATTATAGTAATCACAGAAACATGGCTTAACAGCGA